AGATAGATAGATAGATAGATAGATAGATAGATAGATAGATAGATAGAGTTATGTCTAAATGTAACAAAAAGCAGCTAAAATCCCATCTAGGAATTTATTTGTAGGCACTCAGCTGATGACAGTGCGCTCATAAAGACAAATTGTGATATTATGGATATGTACCTGCACCACTTCTGTAGTTGCACTCTTTTTTTTAACCCACTGGTATTCAAACAACTTTTAGTCACAAACTGGGAATTCACTAGAGCAAAGAAAACATTAACAACAATAAAAAACAGATTTATTCAACATTTATTTTATCACCTTGGACTTTAGGTTTCAGTCCCATTTAAGGTAAAAGGTAAAAAGACAGACATCTTGCTTGTGTGTGACAGGTTGATTACATGTTTGTTTAGATTAGTCAGGTTGGATAACTCACTGTAAACCTCTTTGTTTCGTTACGTTGCCTACAGCCAACTCCTTTACGTGTCACTTATGTTGTGTGACATTAAGCTCCTTGGAGATGTACCAGACTCACCTGCAGGGCAACAAACACCAGAACAAGTAAGATTAGAAGTTACTACTGTTTACTAAAGATACGTTACTCGTTTATTTGCAAGTTAAGTTTAAACTCTGCTACATTCGTTTCCAATGTGCCTTTGCATTTTTTTTTTATCAGTTCAGTTCAACCTTTATTTATGCAGGTTAGTCTCGTTGAGCCTTGAAGACTCAGTTACAAGAGAGACGTGTTTTAGACAAAGAACACAGATGACAACAGTACACAATCATATAAAAAGCATATTGAAGCTGGGACTGGCTCCAACAAGACCAGATGCAAATTGCTCAGCAGCAGGTACTTTGACAATCTCTGCAGACAGGAGTGAATGGTGGTTTAAAGATAATAAGAAAAACCAGGTGGTCCTACTCTGGTATTCAGGAGTTTTAACCACAGAATTTGTGCACCAGAGACCTGAACTATACGAAGCAGGTTCAGCATATTCAAGGTTTTTTAAGCGCTTTGTCTAAACTAAACCTAGTCGTGGAGATCACACTTAGTGGCGCTAATAAAGAAGATTGTGCACTTTGTAAGTCAATCCAGGATTTCTGAGTTCGCGTGCCATTTGGAGCCTCACATCAACCAGTTTATTTGCCAGATGTCCTGCTGGAATCCAACTGCAGCAGCAGCACCGTTATGTTGTGGTGCCAAGATCAAAGTGGTATTTGTTGTCATCTTTGGGGTGTGCATGACTTGTGACAAAAGGGTGTCAGCAAAGGTCAAAGGAAAGTTTACAAGACAGTGATGGACCAGCTTTGTTGTATGGTCTGGAGACAGAGACATGGACAAAAAGACAGTAGAAAGAACTGGACGTGGCAGAAATGAAGATGTTGAGGTTCTCCTAGGAGTAACAAGGATGGATAAGATTAGGAATGAGATCATCAGAGGTATAGTACAGATCGAACAACTGGGAGATAAAGTTAGAGAGGACACACTGAGACGATTTGGACATGTCCAGAGGAGGGACAGTGGGTATATTGAGAGAAAGGATGTTAGAGATGCAGCTGCCAGGAAAAAGACAAAGAGGAGTTATATGGATGCAGTTAGAGAAGACATGGAGGTAGTTGGAGTGAGGATGGAGTAAGATGGAGGAGGATGACTTGCTGTGGTGACCTCTGAAGAGGGAACAGCAGAAAGAAGATCATCTTTGGAGTACGCACAGACCCAGGTTTAGCAGCAAGAAGCCACTTGAGTGATATTTTATTATAACGATGTAACTATGAGGCTGTAGCACCAACTCGTAGTGCACAAAGTTTGTATCGAATGCCCAAAAGTTCCTTTGAAGTGTTTAAAATGACTTTTTTTTAATGTTTTATTGTCATTCCGTTGATTGAAAGAGATTCTAGTAGAGATTTTATTTTATTTTTTGTTCATATCCAGGAAGAAGAAGGTCAGCGATCTTTGCAAATCCCAACCTAAGGTCTACGGCACGTTTGCTGATGAACTGGCAGATTACATCGAGGAACAGAAGGCACGGGGGGTCACCCACAAGACCGTTCCTGTTCTTGTGCAAGAAGAAAAACAAACGAGTGATGAAAAATACAACGGGTTAAACCAGGAAGAAATAATAATGAGAAATTGGGAGGAAACCGCTCAATCCACGCTTAACCCCACACAAAACCACCAACTTCCTCCTCAGCCCTGGCCTGGAACAGGACATCCTTCATATCTGGGTCCACCTGGACCCTTCCAGAGCTCAAACTACACCTGCCTTCCTCTACCCCTCCCATGCTCAGGTTCCACACAGTTCTCCAGTCCTCCCCCAGCTAAAAAGCATTACTATACCTCTTGCAGCTCTCTCACCAGCGAAAGTGATGATGATAAGCACAGACATGGAAAAAAGAGGAGAACTAGAATGGTAAAGAGGGACAGAGCTCACAAGTTTGGATATGAGGAGATGGAAACAGGGGCAAGGAGGAGAAAACACCGGAGGAGAGAGAAATATTATGACTCTGAGGGGAAGAGAAGCGTTTTTAGAGTTGGAGGAAGAACAGAGGAAAAGGCTAAAAAGTCAGAGCAAGGGGAGATGTAAAGACACTGAGAGCGAGCAGGAAGACTTCAGGACAGACAGAGACGTTACAGCCAGAGCACAGGATGACAACTCCACTAAATACACAGCCTGAAACCAATGGTGCCCACTGGGAGAGTGGACATAAACCCATTAAATCTAAATGTAAGAAAGAGAAAAAGAAAAGCAAAGAGAAAGCGGACACACGGACAGAGGTGGAGAAGCTGTGGGACGACTCGATTCAGGGCTGGTGAATCAACAGGACCAGCTGGACTTGGTCCTCTGGACCGCTTATACCCACCGAACCTTTTATCAAGCACTAAATGAACTTAAACTGCGAGTAACACATGGATTCATGCAACCAACAGCTATTAAAGCTTTACAGTTTATTTCCTCTTGTAGCCCAGAGGGGGTGCTCTAACATGCGAGCTGGCCAGCCCTGGTGTGGTGACGTCAGTTATGAATTCATGATTATTTTTATTTTGTTGATTTTATTTGTGTTTATTAATTTTCATCAGTTACTTTTAACTCTAACGCGTAATCATTGTTCACATCTCCGTCACATCTCTCCCGTGTTTGCTTTTCATCGTGAAGCATCTTTAAAGCGTTTGAACAAGCCTGCGTTGGTTCAGGAGGTGGACAGACCGAGCCCTGCAGCAGTCTGTGGTCGGCAACGTTCAGCTTCAGTCTGTCAAAGGAATAAAAGCCCAGAGATGATGAGCGCTTAGTCATTTCTCTCCTCCTGAGTTTCTGGCTCACAGGTGCAAAGACCGAAGCAAAGCTGTCACATGTAGAGTTTCAGAGCTGGTTTTTTTTTTTTTAGATTTATGTGATGCTCAATAAATAAGAAATTGTTGCACCCATTGCACCAGATAAGACACTTTATATATAAAAAAAGGCATTTCCTTAATCTGCAGTGCATGTGTGTGTGTTTGCACATCCAAAGTGCACATGAAATGTTTGGGGTCATACAGGTGCAAGAGTTCAAATGAGCACAGCTCTGTACAAACATCATGATTTGAAACGTGCGATGAGGTGAACGCAGGCTTTTAGGATGTGATGAGGCTGCAAACAAAATAATTCTGAAATTAAAAGTCCTTATCATCTTATTGATGTATGAAGATTGCTGAAAGTGTTAAATAAATCAGAAAGTGTCTACAACCAGTCCATAGATCCTCTGAAGTTTTGAGAAATGTTTCAATGTAATGAACGGATCTTGTGAGTGATGCTGTGACTCAGGGTGTCAAATGTCAAAACTCACTTACAAACGGGGCCAAAATTAAAACCTTTTTCAAACTAAGGGCCAATTTCAGAATCTGCATGAACTCAAATCAGACACCCAGCATCTTCTCTTGGTCACAGGCTCCTCAACAAGAGTTTGATTGGTCTCATTCAATGTTCTCTGTTGTACTTTCAACATCATGATCAAAGATTATTGATAAAATTCAAGAGATATTAGTATTTTATGTTTCACATAACATCTTGGGGGCCAGATAAGATGTCAACGAGGGCCACACTTGGCCCCTGGGCCTTGAGTTTGACACATATGCTGTAACTGGTTACCAGTTTTTATAAAAACTAGACTAAGCTGCTTAACGGTGGCTCAGTTGGTAGAGCTGCTGCCTCTCAGCGAGCAGGTCGCTGGATCAAATCCTGCCCGAGGACCTCTCTGGGTGGAGTTTGCATGTTCTCTCCGTGCATGCGTGGGTTTTCTCCGGGAACTCCAGTTTCCTCCCACAGACCAAAAACATGCATGTTAGGCTGATTGGTGAATGAGAGAGTGAATGTTTGTTTGTCTCTATGTGTCCCTGTGATGGACTGGAGACGTCCAGGGTGTCCCCTGTCTCACACAGTGACTGCTGGACATGATCACCTGTGACCCAATAAAGAAGAAGTGGATAAAAGATAATGGATGGACTAGACCAGGGTTATTCCAACTGACTTCAATCTGACCCACCAATGACTTCATTAAAAATATACAAATTTAAAAGGTAACAGATCAGTATTTGGTTTATTTATGTAATGCCTTTGTTCACTGGATGTCCAGGACCTCATCAGTTTTGTTGAATAGTCCTGGACTAGACTGAGCTGGCACAGCATAAACCTTTCAAAACTAAACAGAAAAGTTGTCAATTAAGAAACTGTTCTTTAATATTAACGAAAACTTAGATTTGAGGATGATGAGGGATCGTGATGCTCTAAGACACGTATCAAACTCGAGGCCCGGGGGCCAAATGTGGCCCTCATGGACCTCTTATCTGGCTCCCAAGATTATATTTTAAATGTAAAATACTTTTATCGATTTAATTTTTTTTTTCAGTAATCTTTGGCTATGGTGTCAAAAGTGCAACAGAGAACGTCAAATGAGACCAATCAGTTTCTTGTTGAGGAAGCTGCAACCAAGAGAAGATGTTGGGTGTCTGACTTGAGTTAATGTAGATCATGAAACTGGCCCTTGGTTTGAAAAGGTTTTAATCTGGCTCCATTTGTAAGTGAGTCTGACACGGTCCAAGAGAAGAGAAAGGTAAATGAGTGAGAATACATTTAAAGAGGACTCGAAGGCTTTAAAGTAAAAATCTGAAGCCTGGAGTTAAATGTCTGAACTGAATTTAAATCAAACACCACCGTTAGTGGAAAAAATATTCAATGTGAACGTGTGGATTTTAAATTCTACAAAAAGAACAAATCTGTGTGTTTGTCTATAAACCCTCGTTCGCTGTCTTGCTTCTGCACAGCTGACTCAGTGCCAGCTGACCGTCCACGTGAACCGTTTACTTTATGTGCACGTCCGATCCTTCCTGGCTCAGCAGTAAAACAACAACGTGTCTGCTTACAGGCAGAGACTGTGCGACAAACGTTTCGAGATGACATAAGAGCCGAGAGATGAAGCAACTCAGCTTTTCGTTGAAGGCGTAGACCAACAAAGGCTTCGCAGCTCCACGGTGTGTCGAGCGCATCTCTGAAGCCCCCCCGAGATCTCCTGTTTTCAAAGAATCCTGTGGTCTCGTTCCCTCGCTCGCTCGAATCCTCGACCCCCGTAGAGCTGTAGGCTGCCCACATCCTGTCACTTTAAGACCCCCACACCAGACCCTGCTGTACCACCAATATTTGATACACTGAAGAATCCAGATGTTGTTCAGCTCCTTTACTGGAGCCTCAGTTTTAGGAAGGCGCTCGCAGCTCCGCAGGTTAAACGATGAAATAAATGACACCCAGCGAGACGTGTTACTTTAAAAAAAATCATCCAAATGAAATGTGTTTAAATGGGTTTCTGTCTCCTGCAAACAGAAACAGATTACCTTGAAGTAAAATCACTTTGATTTAAAGGGACTGAACTATTTGAATGTTAAAGTCAATGCCAGGTTTTGGTTCCCCGTTTAGTGAACATATCTCGTTCAGTAGAGGCTTTAGACGTGCAGCAGAGCTTCTTCACCTCCAGTTTTAACTTCAAATACTCTGTATTCATGTCGCTTCACAGCAGAAGGTCCAACATTTGAGCTCTTTTCGCTTCAACTGCAGATTCTCAACAGCAGCTGTAAAATTTACTTCTAGAGAAATATTTCTCTTTAGGTGCTTTGTCTGGTGTATTACAATATATCCACAGTGGAAAAGTGACATTATGTTATTGTTGTTTTTAATTTGTTTCCCTGAAATTAAAGATAAAATCACTTAATTTGTGTTCGTATAAGAAAATAAATTATCTGTGAGCTACATCAGTCCATCAAAACAACCACTCCTAACTATATTCTCTCTAAACTCAAATAAAAAGAAGAATGGGCCCACCGTGAATCCTAAAAGTAAAATACGGAACGCTACATGATTTGTTGTTGTTGTTGTTGTTGTTTTGCTTCTCATCCGAGGTGTCAGAAGTGAGAAGTGCAGAGCTGAAGCTCCTTCTAATGCTTCAGCTTCACCTCAAAGCTTCGTGGAATCTGAATGAAACGAATCACTTGGAGGCTCCAAACAGTGTCTCATGTTGAAATATAAAGCGTTGTGCCATCGGCAGATTTAGACGAAACAACTGATAAACTATTTCAAATTAAGAGCTTCTGTTGGATCTTTATGTTAATCTGAAATACTAATCGTTTCCTCTCCGTCTTCACGGAGTAAAACAGCTAAAAATCAGTTTAAAAACCCTAATATTAAAAATACTGTATGTTGGTTTATTGAAAAATAATCATGTGCACTTAAAATGAATGATTTTACATTAAACCACCTAATATTTTTTTTCAGGACAGAATGAAATAATCGTTTTACAAAATTACAGACAAGCGAAAATCTGATTATAAACTGTCAACATCTGTACACCCGGTGCTTTCTGCGTCCGCTGTCAAAGCTTGCGTCGCTCATTTATTGACCATCAACACGTGAACGTGAATGTTTTGCTACGTGTATCAGTATTACAGCTCTGCACATCAGCGTTTGGCTCCTCCGAGCACTAGGTCACACACCTGGGTGGAGGAGACCACAGAGCTGCTGCTGCTGGGCCTGATGTTTTCATGTGAGTCGATGCGTAACGTCATGTCAGCGCTCATGAAACGTCCCCACACTTTAATCTGTCAGGGTCTGAGGGAAGCACGAGTGGAGCGGCGTCAAGTGTCAAAGCAGAGAACGTTAGAGAGCGGACTGAAGAGCATCGTTCTTCGTTTAACTCTGATCGCCCGTTTTCTGCCCTGACTCAGAACATGTCTCATGTCTGAGTCTGAAGAACAGAAAGCTCCTTCTACGTGTGTCTGTGTGCAGTTTCAAACTCAAAGTCTTCGTGACGTGTTCATGTGGGCCCCTGGGCTGTGGCTGCTGCTGGGCCCTCCTCACACCTCCTGTGTCACACCGAGGGCCCCGCCGGCTCAGTTCCTCCCATCTCCTCTGACAGACAGCAGGAACAGAACGCGCACCCTCCGACAGCTACACACTGGAGACTTGACAAAATGGTCCCCCTGCGACTGGCGTGGACTCTCCTGGTGGCGTCATCTTGGACGTTTGGTAAGTTTTCTCTGGTGCTGCTTTGGAAGCGTTCGTTATTGTCATCGTCATTTGTCCGTACGGGCCCTGTGGCGTGGGGCGGCTCAGATCGGCTGCTTTAACGTTTTGCGCCTTCGTTTATCACAACCGGTCTGCCAGTATGAGGAGGTTTTAAGGGTTCAAACCAACCACACAGCACCTTCTGGGTGAATATTTTAAACATTTTAATGTATATTCTAGAGATTTGCAGTAATACTAGTGCACATAATAAATATTAGTATGCAGATACATTAACATGTGTAGAATAAATCCCACATGTAATATTGCACCATACTGATACGGTCATTTGTACTTCGTGTTAGGACTACGTACTGCAGCGCTCAGTATTTTTGAAGTATTTGAACTGTGTACTGCAGCTCGTTGGATATTTTCATTTGATTTCTTTGGTGCGTTCTTGATTGTCACATAATTTGTGTGTTTTTTTTTATTTAAATGCTGGATGGAAAAACCAGCAAACCTTTAAGTCCTCACACCCAGTGTGTCGCTCACCTTTAGATATTTCACAACACCAGTTGTTGCAACAGGTACGTGCACCCAGTCCTACGTATTCAAAACACTCAAACTGGCTTTGAGGACTTATTTTAAGATGAGATCAAGTAGCTCCTCCAGTGAAGGCCTCCCGTAAAGATTGCGTTCTTTTTAAAAGATCTTCCTCCGTGCAGTCTTTAAATGTCACAAACCGAGTTTGAGATCTCCTCGTAGTTTGATCTTCTGCGTTTTCCTCCTCCTGGTTGTGTTCTAGTTCGATTTCATTCATCCTTCGCGTTAGAGTCGACCTTTGTCTCGCTACGGGAGAAAGTTCGCACACCATTTCTAGAAGCTTGACATGAACCAAACGATGATTTGCCAAGTGTTAAAGTTAGTTTATGTCACGTTTTTTTTTAAATCTCACTGACACAGTTCTTGTTTTTACTTTTGGCTCTGACTTGTTTTGAGCCTGATGATGCTCGTCATGTCTGGAGGTTCCTAGTTTGTAAGTGTCTATTAAAATCTGAAACACACCTCTGTTTTAACTTTTAGGGTCAAGCCAGTTCCTGCTGCACGAGCCCGTCAAAGTCCTTTACCCCGCCGTCCTCAGCAGTGAGACCATAGAGTGCGACTGTCGTAACATCTCCTGTGACATCGTCTTGTGGTTCTACACGGACCCCGTCAACGCCAAAGTGCGCTACATAGGAAGGTGCAACAACGCCGAGCGCACCGTCTTCGGGGATGATAAAGACAACGAGCGCTTTAAGCTCACCAAGCGGGGCAGCTCGACCTTTGTGCTGCGCATCACGAAGGTGACGAGAAAGGACGCGGGGATTTATTCCTGTGTCGTACGAGACACCAGAAGCCAGGCAGAGATGTATAACCCTGGGACGTCTCTGCGGCCGGGAGGTCAGTGGGGTTGCAACACGTCCTTCGTTTACAGGGTTTAAGATCAGGAGATGAATATTAATTATAAAAATGGCTAAAGTACATTCCAAGGGCTTGACCTGAGAGAATCAGTTTAGTGTGGTAGGATTTTACTCTGTTGTTTAAAGACTTCATGCACAAGAGAAACATCGAGCTTTGAAGACATTGGACGTGAACGTCTCTGAGCGCTTCAAGTAAACTTTGGCTCGAGTCCACCTTTCTGCAGACGTCCTCTCCTTGTCCCACTGCTGGTTTATCAAATTAAAGACGAAACCTAACGGGCGTCTTGTTTAGCCGTACAGCTACATCCTTCGAGCAACTTACGTAGCGCTTGATCCGGTAACAGGAGGTACGCAGCTTCAGATAGGAGACTCCTTCCACATTTTGACTTCTTGCTGCTTCCAAGTATTCGTGAATGACAACGAATTGGCGCTAAATAACTTAAATATAATCAGTAAATATGACGCGTTTGTTCAAGCGTGGTCTGTTATCAGACTCTGGATGAGAGTGAACGTTGAGGCGCAGCAGGTCCACTGGTCAAACCTGTTGCAGGATTCTGGTCAGGATCGCGGGTCTTCATTAAACGTATAAATGTTACTGCTGTTTGTTGCTTTATCTTTATTTCTCTTTGCTCTTTTCCTGGCAGAGACCCCTCCAACACCACCGCCACCCAAAACGATGTCACCTAGACCCCGGTTCTGTCCCTGCCCCTCGAAGATTCATCCTCAGGGTACGTGGTTAGGAGTTTTCCACTGCCCCTCTGGATTTTACGTGTAAATATGTGATGTATAAGCTCTTTGGTCTAAATGTTTTGCGTGTTGGCTCCAGGTGGCTGTCACTCCCTGGTTCTGTGGCCCCTCGTCGGGCTCGTTGCAGGCCTGGCTGCAGGTCTTCTCTGCTCGTTGTATTACTTCAGCCGTAAGTCGCCTTCATGAGCTCCGCAACACTTTACATGAAGCCGTTTTAACAGTTTGAGCATGTAAACATTTTAGTTTTAATTTTTAATTTTATTTTTTTTAAATCTCTGACTGGTTTTTGTTTTTATTTACAGGACTGCCCAAAAAATGTCACCACCACTTTGTGAAGTAAGTTCAACTCTACAAAGAATCAAAAGGCTTTTATTTCCCTGTTTGTTTAATGGATTTTCTTTCTGTTATTAATCGGTAAAAAACAGATTTTTTTTTAATGTTTTCTCCACAAAATGTTTGTTCTGACGACAGTAAATTTTGTTTTTCACCTTGAAGGAAGAGGCTGACCTAAAAGAGCACGTCTGCATCTTGTGTTGGACTCCGAGTAAGTCATTTATTCTGAAGCTTGATGATTCAAGTTAATTCAAGTTTATTCACAACCTGCTCTGACTGCAGACGCTGGCTCGATTTAACGGAGCTCTTGTGTCCTTTGGAGCGCCAACAACGAGAGGCACCCCGAAGATCTTCTCGCTAAACGCAAAACGGGTTCATCTACAGAAACATCTGCAGGTGGAGGAGAGCTGCAGCCTTGTAACATATTGTGATATAATGACAGTTTTGTTGTATAATGTAGAAGATTGAACTTTATTACAGGTGCATCTAAAAAAATTAGAATATTGTGAAGAGGTTCAGTGTTTTAAACTGCGGGTGTCTCACCCTAATCAGCTGATTAACTCCAGACATGAGCTGCAAATGTCTCATTCTTCAAGTGAAGCCACTCCTGAACCAGAGGCAACGTCAGAAGCGTCTTACCTGCTGAGGACAAAAAGAACTGGACTGTTGCTCAGTGGTCCAATGCAGGGGTTGTCAGACTTTTTGGTTTCAGGGACCTCAAAGTTTCAGTGACCCCCTCATGACCCTCATGTTTATTCAATAATTTTCCTCAATTTTCATTCAACCTTTATTTATACAGGTTAATCCCATGAGCCTCGGGGACTCATTTACAAGAGAGACCTGATTTGTCAATTTGTCCCTTTAATGCAATGGAAATATTTGTGCAACATAAATACTTTAAAACCTGTTCTTTAATAGTGTTAATACAAATGTTATACTTTAAAACATGGGATATTTTTCATTAAATACATTTAATTAACAAAAAAACTAGTTCAACTTCCAAAAATTACAGTTTTGAGCGAATTAACAGCATCGAAAACTACTTAAAAACTTTATTTATTCACATAATGAACATGAATGTTGCCACTCCTTCAAATGATTAAAACTCTTAAATAAAACTGAACAGAATGAGAACAGCAGTAGTCAGATCAAGTAACAGGGCTTCATTTATAAACTGATGGGTGTCGAAACGCAAATAGCAGGTGGGGGTCCTCCCCCAGAAAATTTTTAATAAAGTACAGTAGTCCCTCGCTACTTCGTGGTTCGCTTTTCGTGGACTCGCTCTGTCGCGATTTTTCAAAGTAAGATTGGACATGACACAAAATTGGCTGATTGATGGATGAGCTGCATGATCGGCACGGATTTTTGATTTAAATAAATTATTTTAAATTATTTAGCACCTGCTGCACCTGTGTGCAGCCCACACTGCAGGAGAAGCTTCCTCCTGCAGCTTGTCAGGTTCTCTGCTCTGCAGCCGAGAAGTGGGCGTGGCCAAGAGCGCTGGCTGGTGGCAAAGAGCAGAGGAGGCAGAGAGCTGAAATCATGACATGCTGTGCTCCTTTAGAGCATTTAGAGCTTAGAAACATTGTTTAGAATATTGAAAGAGTGTGGCCTTAATATATATATATATATACATACAAATAAATTACTACTTGTACTACTATTTTTACTTCACGGTTTTTCTCTTATCATGGGGCTTCAGGGTATGGATCCATAGTGATAAACTAAGGACTACTGTAGACGTGAGTTCCTGCATTTTGGTGTATTTTAATGGGTTAAACCTTTACATGCTTTAAAAATAATAATAATTTGGGGGGGCAAACCCCCAAGCATTGGCTCGCAGACCCCTGTGGGTCTGGGGACCCCAGTTTGAGAACTACTGGTCCAGTGTCCTCTTTTCAGATGAAAGTAAATTTTCATGTCATCAGGTCTCAGAGTCTGGAGGAAGAGTGGAGAGACCACGTAGCTGGAGTCCAGAGTCAAGTTTCCACAGTTAGTGATGGTTTGGGTCCATGTGCTGGTTCTGGTCCACTGGGTTTTCTGAAGTCCACAGTCCAAGCAGCATCTAGCAGGATGTTTTAAAGACTTCATGCTTCTTTCTGCTGATGAGCTTTTTGGAGAAAGAACTATGACTTTCATTTTCTGAAGTAATCGACTAAAGAAATGTTCACGTCTTCTAAGTTTTGAGATGCACCTGTGTGTGTCATCACCTGTTACTGAGCACGTGTGTCGTCCCTGACAAACATGTTGACAGTTTATCATTTATTAAGGTGTTTGTTCAGTTCAGCAACTCGTTCAGCCTCCTCAGATTGTTATTGAGTTAGGAAAGAAACCTCATGCTTGTGTGTTTTGCACAAATATATCATTACAAGTTATGCATCTAAATAAATAATAAAAATCTAAATTAATTTCAGTTACATTTATGTAACACATGAACAACCGGGCCTGGCCAGACAATATGACAAAAGTATAAAAACTTTTATGAAAGGACAGTAAAATATTAAAGACCATCAAAAGAAGATGTACTTAAATCAGTTTAAACCAAAATCCAAAGGAAAAAGATGAAACTTGAGCAGTTTCTGTCGTTGAAACTGTTTTAACGTAAACTGCTTCACGGCTGCATGAACCTGTACGTTTGAATCTGGGGACCTCTACGAGAAAGTGTCTCGTTGATCGGATCGTCAATCAGTTTATTCTGCAGACGGACGTCTCGGCTGGATCGAAACATTTTTAGAAATACTTCTTTTACTCCTTTCTGTGTTTTGTTTCTTTGTCATGTCAGCAGAGATGTGGTTTGAAAACGTTTCTTGTTTTGCACTGTAAATATGTTAAATCAATAAACTTGTGAGAAAAGTTTTGACTCTGTCTCTTCTTTTTAGAACCCTTTACATTTATATTTATTGGCATGTTTGCAGTGTGTGTGTGGTCCTCAGCTGTAAAGAGTCTTTTCTGTGTGGAGAGCTCTGGATGAGGGGGGTTGTACTTCCATTTGTCGATATTGTTTGGCGGAAGTTGAGTAGGTGAGTGACAGAGTTTGGTTTTGATGTGCATCATATTCACTTTCTGTTCAACCTCCTGCCGCCTGTGGCTCAGAACGACCCGCAAGGCCTCAGTTTTGGGTCTCGTGGGTCACTTTGAGCCAAAGGCAGAAGGAGAGTTGGCGCCTCTTTAACGTGCAACTCGTTTGACCTTCTTATTCCTAAAGCAGTCGTTTCACAGCAGCGCACTGAGCCGACTGCAGTGTCTCACGAGCACACCTGCGTGGAGTGCAAAGACTCGATGGAGTGTGTGGTTGTGCGGGTCTCAGGGAGTGTGTGCAGCTCTTTTCCTGTGAGCTGACACCGAGGCGGCTCGCTCCGATGCTATCGCTTCTCCCAGCTTTGAGCTCTTCGTCGCCTCTGAAACAAAACGACCACAAACACCACAGACCCCACAAGCACCGACACACTCAGGCACACGGAGGGCTTAGAAAACAAACTGCATTTGAAAAGAGAACGAGGACTGTAACCCGTTAGATTCCGGTAGATGTGGCGCATTTGATTATTTACACGTGTGTGGATCTATTTTGTTGCACGGTGCAGCAACGATGCTAAAAAACAACTTGTTTGGAAATGGAGGGAACTGTGGTGTAACGAACAGATAAAGTAGAATTCCGTCTAATCTACAAAAACTTTTGCCTAAAAGTTGCAGTTTTAAGACGTCAAAGAGAAGTCGAGTCACTCGGGAGTTGTTTCAGAAAACTTTATTCATCAGAAAAGCACAAACATATTGAAACGTTAGTTTAAAAACAACTAGAAGAAACTTTGATGGGGACTGCCATGCATTTTAACTTTTTGATGTGACAGTATTGGGGTTCGCTCTCAGCTGCCACTAAATTTCAGCTTAAAATGCAAAATATCAATTAATTAAAGTCATTCTTTCTTTCAAGCTATGGAGGCCATCTTGGATTTTTGATTTGAAATCAGTATGTGATGGGGAACATTCTCTGCTAGAACCACACCAAATTTCAGCTCTATGTGTAAAAATAGCATTAAATTTAGCTTTGGTAGCCATCTTTATTTTTTATTTTTTATTCATTATTTATTGGGCATTGCTCTCAGCTACTACCACACCAAATTTCAGCTTAATATCTCTAAAAATGGCTGATTTACTGTATTTTTCTTTTGTAGCTCAGGTTGGTATCTTGGATGTTTGACTTGCAACCATAGACTGAAAAAGGCATCTTTGTGAATTACATCGCCATGGTAACTTGAAATAGCACTAAAAGTAATAACACACATCACGTGGGGGGGCACACGGTGGTTCAGGCTGCATTAAAGGTGACGGCAGAGGAAGAGCTAAAGTTAAGAAACCCTTGTCAGGTGGATAATAATATGTGACTGCCTTGAGCTAGGCAGTCCCCCCCACAAAAAAAATAAAGATCAGAAATGCAAAAAAACCCCAACTTTATTAGTTTTGTTAATAATCACAATGAATGACAACAGACAAAATGTTTCTATTTATTTATTATTAGTTTGTTTGTTTTCAGCTCAACTCAAAGCACATTGAAATACTTCCTAAAAGTGATTTATTTTACTACAGTGATCTAATGACATTTTGCTTTTACTGCCGTTACTATTTACAAACGTCTTAAAGTTTAAACGAACATTAGAGGTTTGAATGATTACAATCAGATAATTTAATACAGATGTGCCTAAATCTAATTTTCTGATTCTGCCAAGTTAAAAAAAAAAAACCACGTCGCTCGTTTCATCTTATTATTATTTAGTCATTTAATTCAATCTACTTGTTAGTGTCTGTTTTTAATGTTAATTAAATAAAAATGATTGATGTCAGTGAATAATAATTGTCTTTGGCTATCTGTGTCAAAAATTAATTTATCGAGCGGTTCTTCAAACTTTATTTTTTATAAAACCCAAGTAAAATCTCCTTATATTTTTGAAACATAGAAGCTACAAACTGATGTCCAGTTTAGTGTAAATGTGAGGTACATTTAATAAAACCTTC